CTTTCCAAAACAGTTGTGTAGCAGCTCACCATAAAATTCATATATCATCTACACAAATATACTGTAATATATTTAACAAGTCAGAAATAAAAACAAAGGCATGAAGAAAAAAATATGTGTGGGTCCCTTACTATAAGAAGGCCAAGAAATATATTTAACACATCTGAACCTGAATTATGTCATTGCAAAATTTTTTTTTTTTCTTTTGAGAGAGAGAGACATTTTTGCTACAGGGTATGTGCACTTGCTGGAGAGGCAGAGAGAAACAGAGAGCAAGAAATCGCTCCCCCAACTAGGGGGGAAGGTGGCCACACCACAATCTCTTCCATTCTCCTTTTGGGATCTTGGGCACCACACACACATGCCTGGTGTGAGTTTTAAGTCGCTGGGTACAGGACCCAAATCACAGTTGACTATGTGGGAGTTTAGCAACATAACCATTATGCCATCTGCTGGTCTCAAAATATATTCTTTGAAAAAGTAAAAATTAATTTGCATGGTGGGGTGGGAGGGGGATTGCGGCAGGCTTGTGAGCTCACCAGAAGCAGTTTGAGCAGCACCCCTCCACACCCTCCATGAGGCATGGCCACATCACAATCCTTCTCTATCTCTCTTTCCTTTTGGGATTTTGGGCATGTACACACAGAGAATCCTTATGTTTCTCAAGCTGCTCATCTGGGACACCAACTGTGTAGTAAGCCATGTGGGGTCCACCTGCCCTAACTAAAACTTTTAAATCACTTTATTATATGACAAGCACTGTTTTAAGAGTGTTCAGGTTATTAACTAACTTAACCATCAAAACCCTACAAAGAAAATATTATTTACTCTATGCCATTTTACAGATGAGGAAACCAAAGCAAAGAGAAGTAGAGTAACACACCTAAGGTCACCTATTTGTTAAGTAGTCTAGCCAGGCTTTGAATTCAGAAAAGCTAAACATAGGTGAACTGCTTATGACTTTCAGGAATGAAGACTCTAAGGCCCTGGAAAATGGTAGACACTACCTATGGTAGGCAGAATCCTAAAATGGCTACCAAGATTCTGTACCCCACTACCATCCCACCACTACCCCACCTGCATTACTCAAACACTAATCTAGACACTGTTGTGAAGGAATGTTACAGATGTAATTTAATTTTACAGATGTAATTTAATTAAAGTACCTGAATCAAGTGACCTTAAGACAGGGAGATTATCCTGGGTGAATGTGACTTAATAACAACCAATTAATAGGGACTTGCCTTTTCCTAAAAAGTTTTGAAGTACAAAAGAAATCAGACATGATCGAGATTCTCCATCGCTATAAAATTAGTTTAACCCTGGTTTATGTGTATTGAGGGGTGGAACTCAACTCTATACTGACATTGGGAGAGGAAACTGATCCCATTTCTGGAATAATCTCTATTTACCCTGAGGAAATCATCAGAGATATGGGCAAAGATTTATTTATTAAAATAATGCCATGGTACTATTTATAACTATAGGCTAGAAGTAAGCAAAAGCCTTCAAATTGTGATAGGTTTGAATAAAAACACACACATGTGAAGGAACATTTTATGATGCCACATAAAAACAGTAATAAGGATCTTAATTTGAGGGGTAATGGAGTGGGGCAGTGGTTGAAGTGCTGGAGTTCCACATGGCCAACCATGGTTCAAATCTTGGACCTGGGGGCTTGCTTTCTCACTTTCCCTTTCTCTCTCTCTGGTCAAATTTTTAAAATTAATAATAACAACAAATAAAATAAGTAATTCTTAAAAAAAAAAAAGACCTTAGTTTTTTATTTGCTAGAGGGGGCATGTGTTCACAAAAGAGAGAGAGAAGGAAAAAGAACCCCTAACAAGGTATAGTCATGCTGCAATCCCTTCTCCTCCCTTTCTCCATCCTATTGGCATCCTGAGCACACATACCCAAGTGTTTTTTAAGCCACCTGGGCCTGGATTCAAACCACACAGTTGGCCATGTAGAAGCCAACTGCCTTAACCACCAGGCCATGGAACCGGCTTGATAATAAAGATTTTAATCAGAGTTCATGAATGGGCTGTAGGAGTTGTCTACTCATGGTTTTTCTGTGCATTTTTCTTGAGAAATGGTCCAAAAGCTTAACCAGAATCTCTGATGTAGAAGAATATTCAATGATATAACAAAATTATAGGTAACTTTTTGAGAAAAAGGGGTAGGTGACAAAAATTACCAAGGGTGGACAGGTACAGGTGATTTTTATTTCCTTTAATAAGTTTTTTATTGTTTACATAAACTTCTTCAATGAACATGCATTTTTATACTTAGAACATAAGTTTAAAAATTAACAAATGTTCTAATAACTTCAAATTCTTTAGTGTTTATTACCAGTTAAAGTCAACCAAGTTCTTTTGGAAAAAAAGGTAAAAGAAATTGAAAAATTACTGTATTTATATAATGTTTGGGCTTTTAAAACTGTTACCATGAAAATTCTAAACAAATATGCAAACCAACAAACAAAAATCATCACGGGTAGAGAAAGGAAACACAACTGGTTCTAAACAGCACATCAAAGTACAATTACATGAAATAGTTTCTCCCTCTAGTGGAGAGAGTTAGAACATATCACACATTTCTGAAAAAATATTCTCTTCCCCATTCTTGTTTAAGAAGTATTATAATTCATGCGCCTTTAAGGAAATATGGAACCAAACAGTTGGAAAGTAAAGTCATTCAATATTCTACTACTTAAACATAACTAAGATCAAGTTAGGGTAACTTTCTTTCCTATCATATCCCCCTACTCCTTTAATGCATTAACAAGTTGATTTGGGGGGAAACATAGCTCAAATTATCTTATGTATCCAAATTTATGTTAAAATTTTTTCATTGACACATGGATCCTGAACTTCAGCTGTGAAATATTGCTTTCAGGGACTTAAAATGAAGATTTTCTGCTGAGACTTCCCCCTCTACACTCATTTCTACTCCTACACACTGTCTAGACAGGTCCCAATGAACAGGATCTAAACATCTGAATATGATTAGGGTCACAATAATCTTCTATTCCCACTGATTCTGATGCATAAAGAGTGAAAATGGAATGGAAGAGAGATTGCAGATCACCTCCGCCTGTACGCCTCTGAATGCTCAGATTGAACTTCAAGAATTAGGGAGAAATGCACCATCCATCGGATGACTAGAAATCACAGCAGGGTCACAAGAAATATAGAAAAACAAGAAAATACCTCTCCTCCAAGGAAAAATAGTAATTCCTCTTCATCTTCAGAAAGTACGATGAAATTCATGGAAATGTCAGATAAAGAATTTAGAATTTTCATGGTGACAAAGCTCACAGAGATCGAAGAGAATAGAGACAATGAACTGCAAAAGAGGCAGGGGAAAGAAGCTAACGAACTCCAAGAGGTGAAGAAATTCTTGCGAGATCTAAAAGAGGACATTCACACTATAAAAAAAAATCAAATGGACCTGTTAGAGATGAAGACTAAAATACAAGAAGTCAAGTCCCTTGAAAGTATTAAATGCAGACTAGATCATACTGAAAATCGAACCTCAGATGTAGACGATAGAATTGCTGGCCTAGAAAAATCCACCACAAAGACTGAGAAAATTGCCCCAAAAATGAGAATATAAGAGAAATACTAGATACCATCAAACGTCCAAACATCCGGATAATTGGTATCCCAGAAGGGGAAGAGACTCATAAGGGCATTGACAATCTATTCCATGAAATCCTGGAAGAAAACTTTCCAAACCTAGAGAGGCATTCAAAGATCCAGTCTCAAGAAATACAAAGGATCCCACATAGAATCAACCCAAGATCTTCTTCAAATCACAGTATAGCCAGATTGACCAAAACCATGGACAAAGACAAGATACTAAGATGGGCAAGAGAGAAATGTCAAATTACCTACAAAAGATATCCCATCAGGCTAACAGTGAACCTCTCATGGGAAACAATGCAAGGAAAGAATGGGAAAATATATTCCAAGTGTTAAGGGAAAAGCAATTTCAACCAAGAATACAGTACCCAGCAAGATTATTCTTCATATGAGAAAAGACAAGAACATTCTCAGATACACAAAACCTAAAAGAATTTACCAACACCAGACCAGATCTCCAAGAAGTTCTTTTTTTTTTTGGAGAGGTTTTTGCTATAGGGCGCGTGCGCTCACCAGACAGACAGACAGAGACAGAGAGACAGAAAACGAGAAATCACCCCCCAGGGGGGATGGCCACACCGCAATCCCTTCTCCTCCATTCTCTTCTCGGGATCTTGGGCACGCACGCACACGTGCCCGGTGTGAGTTTAAGCCACCAGGTCTAGTACTCAAACTGTGGTCTACTACGTGGGAGTCCAGCAACATAGCCATTATACTAACTGCTGGTCCCAGATCTCCAAGAAGTTCTGCAGGGAGTGCTATACCAGGAAAATTAAATACAGTAACACAGAAATAAGAGTTCAAAAACTAAGAAAATGGCCAACTTAATCATGGGGACAAGTCTGGAGTTGAATATTATATCTCAGAATATTATTGGGAAGATTGGACCAAAATAGAAGATAGATTAAGTACATGAGACTGAACTGGTGAAATAGAATTTTATGACTTTTGACTAAAACATTGCTGATTTTCTTTTAGGCTTTGTTTTCTGGTTTCAAGGATTTTTGTCTTGTCTTGAGCTGCCGATAGGTTCATGTACCTACTATATGAACAGAATCCTAACCTGTTTCCTGACTTTAAGTTCTAAGCATAGTTCCTTAGTATTTCTTTAATTTATTAAAGCTAAAACTGCTTTTCTTGAAATTAAAAAATATAGAAAAAAAGACATAATTAATGATTGTAGTAAGCTATATAGCATCAGCTAGGTGCTACCTCATAGTATACTCATTCTACTCAGAATTTCATGCCTAATGTCAGACATATATTCATAGATATATCAGCTGAGCTTGCTATTGAAAGTAGATTATTTAAGAAATTTTGTGAATCAACAAAATGTGAGGGTAAAAAGAAACAGAAAACTGAGATAGTGTGGGAGGAGGGTGGGAAATGGCAGAGGGTGAGAAATAGGGCGAAAATATATATATATACACATATATATGAAACTAGAAATGGAAAATTATTGATAACATATATGATTAAGCCACTAAGCAGTATATTCTGGATGGGAAATCACATTTTGTATGCCATGACAACGCTCACTGAAGGAATATAAACTGATTAATTAAAAACAAAAAATAAAAATAAAAAAATTTCATTGAATCAAACATTTCTCATATGGTCAGAAAATTCATAACTTTGACTTCTTTAGTGGGCTATAAAATATCTCATTGAGTGTGTTCATTCATTCTCTTAATAATTCCTTTTTGATCAAACATTTAGATGGTTCCCAATGTTAAGAACCATTTCTATGCATGAAGACTTTCTTCTCTTCCCACATAGAATAATTATGTTGTGATAATTAATTTAAGTCAAAATGAAGATTCTTAAGGCTTTGAGACACTACGTTCCAATTGCTTTACAAAAGATATCTAAGGTTGTTATACTGGTATCAGTAACCAAAGAACTGATTACCTGTATGTATTGCCTCTATTGTAATTATTGGCTTAATTTCTCACTTAAAGGGCAAGATAGTTGAAGAAGGAAGTATACTTATTAAATATTTATCCCTATAATCTGTTCCTACAACAAAGCGATCAATAAATATTTGCTGAAAAGGGCTGACCCACAGCCTAGCAGTTAAGGGAACTGGATCCCATAAGGTTAACTGGAGTTAAAATCCTGGCCCCAGTGACTTAAGAAACAAGCAAGGTGTGTGTGTGCGTGTGTGTGTGCGCATGCATACCTGTCTAAAATCCCAATGACATGCAGAAAGGAAGAAATACAGTATGACTACCCCCCACTGGGGAGTCTTTTTCTCTCCTTTCTCTCTGTCTCTCTCTAGTGAGCACACGCATATTCTGACAATTAAAAAAAATGATAAAGAAAATCACTGCTGGGACCAGCAGTTGGCATAATGGCTATTCGCTTGACTCCCATGTAGTTGACCGTGGTTTGAGTCCTACACCTGGTGGCTTGAATTACGCCAGGCAGGTGTGAATGCATGCCCAAGATCCTGAGAGAAGAATAGAGGAGAGGGGATTGCAGCATGGCCAATCCCCCTGGGGCATGATTTCTTCCTTTCTGTCTCTCTCTGTCTTTCTGGGAAGCGCATGCGCCCTATAGCAAAAACATATCCAAAAAAATGTTTTATTTAATAAAAATAAATTTAAAAAATAAAGGAAAGAAAATCATTGCCAATAAAGCTTTTTGTGTGTGTAAAAATAGAATGTGTGGGCCAGCCAGTGGTATGGTGGTTAAGGTGACATGGAGGTTAAAGTGGATGGATCCCACATGACCAACTACATGGTACAAGTCCCAGACCTGGCAGCTTGAAAAACACGCCAGGTGCTTATGCATGAATGCCCAAAATCTCAAGAGGGGAATGGAGAAGAAGGAACTGCAGCATGGTCATTCCCTTTGAGGGTGACTTCTTACTTTCTCGGATTGAGCACACACAACCTATAGCATAAACTATTGGGTCACTGGAAAAGTCATGACGCATTCTTAAGTAGGAAAACAAAAAACAGATTTTCCTGACTAAGAAAATATTTTAGTTTGTATAACAAATTAGATGGGTGATCACCTACTCCTGTGCCTGAAAAAGAGGACAGGATTCTTCCCTTTCACACACCGGTGAGAGCTCTAAAATGTGCCATAGTTTAGTTTGTTTTATACATATCATTAATTTTAATTTAAAAAATGTAAATCTGGGGAACCAGCAGTTACCATAATGGCTATGTCGCGGGACTCCCACGTAGTCGACCGCGGTTCGCATCCCGGACCTGGTGGCTTTAAACTCACGCTGGGCGCGTGTGCGTGCGTGCGTGCCCAAGATCCCGAGAGGAGAATGAAGAAGGGATTGCGGTGTGACCATCCCCCCTAGGGGGTGATTTCTCGCTTTCTGTCTCTCTGTCTCTCTCTGTCTGTCTGGCGAGCACACGCGCCCTATAGCGAAAATCTCTCCAAAGAAAAAAAAAAAAAGTAAATCTGGGGCAGATCGTTATGTGGTGGCTGGATCCTTCATGGCAGACTGTGCCGTTTGAGTCCCAGACTCCGCAACTTGAAAGACATGCAGGGTGCATGTGCATGTATGCCCAAAATCCTGGGAGGCGAACGAAGGAAAAGGGACTTCAGTGTGACCACCTTCCCTGAGGGATGCTTTCTCACTTTACCTCTCCCCTTTTCTGTCTCTACCACACAGGCCTTGTAGCATTTTTCTTTAAAATATAAATCTCGCTTCCTTTTTGGAAAACCAAATGGTGATTTCCACAGTCATTTCTATATCTGTCAAGTTTTACACAAAAAGAAAATCATATTAAATAATTTTTAAAAATTAATCATGGACTTGGTAACACAGACAAAACACATAGGTGCCTTTAAAATGGTGTTTCCCTTACAATCAATTCTTAGCTCTGCATTAAGGTTGAAACAAGTTTGTTTGTTTGTCCTTCTAGGTTTTGCTAGAGGGCACAAGCACTTGCCAGGGCTGAGGAAGAGGGGGGAAGTGGGAGAGGGAGGCGGGGGAGAGGGAAAGAAGGAAGGAAGGAAGGAAGGGAGGAAAGAAGGAAAAATGAGAAATCAACCCCAGGGGGATGGCCATGCTGCAATCCCTTCTCATCCACTTTCTTCTCGAGATTTTGGGCATGGCTGGAGTGGTATTCAAGCTGTCAGGTCCAACATGTGAACTACCGTGCAGCTGGCCACGTGGGATCCAGCACCTTAACCTCCATGACACCTGCTGGCCCTAAAGTACAATATTTTTGAGGTACAGAAATTCGTTATAAAAATGTTTTCTTTTCTGTCCATTCAAACACAGAATAACATCAAATGTCAGGAACATTAAGCAATATAATGTAGCTTTTTAAATGTATGTTATAAAAGGAAAATATAAATATTAAAACCTTTTACTTTACATTTATTAAAAATGAAGTTACATTTTCCTCGTACAAAAAGAAAGTTCAGCTAGAACTGCTGATTTTCTGCTCTGTAAAATAAGAGCCCTGAATCAACTGACAACATTCATTCAGTATTCAATTTGAGTGCGTCATATGATTATTAAGATTCTCCCTAACTCTAATATTCAATGACTCTAAGAAAGGAAAATATATTACTGATGACATGTTTTGATTTTTATTTCTTAAGAGTTCAAACATCCTTCTTTCTCATTGTTCTAAGATAAAGATAATACCAAATTCGGAGAGAGGAGAATAAAGAACCCTTGTGCAAACTGGCCGGTGTCATTTCAGAATCAAGCTTTCACAGACTACACTGGACCATCAAAAAGTTCACGGAAAATGCTATGATTAAAAAAAAAACTAGGCATGAATTTCAAACTTTTTTTTTTTTTTTTGCCTCAACATAAATTTATACTTTAATTCCATTTTTCTACTCAGGATTTTGGGCATGCATGCACATGTGCCCAGCATGCTTTTCAAACCCCTGGGTCCAGGATTTGAACCAAGGTCAACCATGTGGGCGTCCAGCACCTTAACCACCTGATGGTCGCCACCTGATGGTCCCACCACACAAGACTTCCTAAAGCGCCTTTTACCCTAGTTAGAAACAATCTTATGTCTTTACAGTGATAACTTTGTACCTGTAATGCTTCTTGTTTAAAACTGGTTTTCTCAGGCACTTCATGAACACTTTCTGAAGAATCATCAGCCTCTTCGATTTCTGAGGATGAAGGACTCTCTACTGTCACAGTCACAGGAAAATCTGATCGCTTAATGAAAGAGGACAAGACTGTGTAAGTAATACTCTAAACCAAGTACCAAATATTAAAGACATCTTACCAAAGTGATCTTTCTGAAGTATCAAGTCATCATTTATAAATGTCTTTCACTACTCTGTAGCTTAAAATAATCAATAACAAAGTAGTAAAATGACACTAATTTATTCTTGCTATGTTATATAGAGAATTCTATCAAACATGGCCATAACTCCTATTTATAACTGCTCAATAATATGGCTATATCATTTATACGTTTTTTTTTTTTTAATGCCAGAGGCCAAGTGTGCTCACCAGAGGGAGAGTAACAGACAGAGAAGCAGCCCCCAGTGGGGTATGCTCCTACCACAGTTCTCTTTCCTCCATGGCATCAGGATTTGGGCATGCATACATCCAGGCATGTCTTTTAAGTAGCCAGGGCAAAACATGAACTGCGGTTAGTCACGTGGGACCTGACTCCCTATGAGCAGTATTTCACTACTGCACTATGGGATAAGCCCTTGGCAATTTTATTAATTTTATTACATTTATTTCATATAAACCAAGTGAGAAGCCAGAGTAAACAATTTTTCTCAGATCAACTTTATACTACAAAAGAAAAATTTATTCTCCACCATCAGATGCAAGGAGTCTGGAAGTATAATTTTAGAAAGAAAATCCATCAGGGGGAAACTAATAAAGAAATGGAAGAATGATTAGAAAGTCAATATAGCTGAACCTTCTCATCCTTAACCCAAAGCTAGTGTAATAATAATACAATTCCCCTGTCAAGCTTCACAGCCTCTGGAATGTCATTCATGTGTCATTCATGAGACATTTCCAAACATTTGCAAATAGACCTGGTCACAATCACATAAAAAGTCTACAGATCAAAAAGGAGTGGGGGTGGGGGAACCTGGCAGGTGGTGTGGTGGTTGAAGGTCCTAGACTCCCACATGGCGGACCATGGTTCGAGTACCAGATCTGGCAGTTTGCTTTCTCGCTTTCCCTCTATCTGTGGTCAAATTAAAAAATATTAACAAATGAAATTAAATAAATAAATAATTCTTAAAAAGAAGAGTGCTGGGTCAGGTGGTGGCAGGTGGTAGCACAACTGGACCCACATGGAAAGGGAGCATGTGTGGCCCTAGTGAGGAAGAAAAAATGCTCTAAGCTGAAGCTTTGAAATGGATTTGTTTTGTTCTGATTTAAGAATTGATCTCTCTCTCTCTCTTTCTCTAGCTCTTCCAAAACAAAACTTCTTTAAAAAAGTGAAGGACATTCTTGAGTATGATAGCCCCACATGCTAGGTCAGAAAGGTTGTCAAAGTCACGTCACTGGGCAACAGCTGATTTGAAGGCTGGAGAAATGGCCTGTCTGTAGAAGCCACCAAGCCTGCAGGCGTGCATATCTCCACAGTACACCATGACACTAGGACAGCAACCTGGCAAGTTTCACATAGATTTACTTCAGGGAGGGAGATGTCTTTTGTAAGGCTTGTTGAATATAAAAGCAGAGAATGTACCCTTCCCTCTCCAACCCCCTACATATACATATAACTACATACCTGCAACTGATTACATATATCACGAGTTTTGATTAATGGAAAGCCCCTAAAGAGATATCAACAAAATAAATTACATTTTTATACAAATGCACCACCAGTTAACCCCAGGAAATAAAATTTACCAGTATTATGCATACTATCCATACAGAACTTGTGTATAGAAATAAACAACCTCAAAATAAAGACCCAAAAGTTCTTATCTGAAGAGAACTGAGCAGAAGTGAGCACAGTGTTCTTGTGGTAACTCAACTGCTGATATTCATTTAGTTACTATGTTCAGGATAGCTGAGGCATCTAGTCTGCTTTTTTCAACTGATCATTTTAGTCACTGTCCAATTTTACAACACCTTACAACCAGGATGGACTTGGGATTAATAATAGTCCCAAGAAGAAGACATAAACTACAGAATTACAAGACTAAGATATAAAGACTGGGGCCTCAGCACTGCAGTTCATGCAATATTTCTCACCTATATACCTGGAGGTAATTTCAGTCTCCTCTTGACTCTCACGAAGTTAGTTTGTTGTGACACTTAAGAAATAATTTGAAACTCCTAATTATTTTTTGGTTTCCTTTCTTAAAGGACTCATTAGGCAGAAACCATTGTGTGAGTCAGCCCTTTGCCCCTATAGAGACAACCAGAGAACTCCCACGTTTAGAAGTGCCAAAATAAAGAATTCTGAATGAGTAAAAGGGAAGAAAAACACTCCACCTGCTCCTTTTTGCACGTTCTGCAGTACGCCATGGCAAGAAACCAGACACACCGGGCGGCAGAGGTTCGGGAGCATAATATTCTTTACCAAGAGTGTGTTTTCTTCCGCCACTTACAGGTTTCTTTGTAGCCAATCCTGTGTTTGAGAGTGTTAAACAGAAAGAATCAAGGTGCACTAATGGTCTACAGGTTAATTATCATGTATGCATATTCTTTTTTAAAAAAGAATTGTTTTATTTAACTTTATTTATTTACTTACTTAAATTTGACCAGAGAGGGACTGGG